ACCCATTTCATGTAAGAATTTATTTATTTCTTTACACCACTGACACACAAAGTATATACATTAGGGCGGGTCGAAAATATATTGTATCATGAAGTCAACAACAACCCTGCAAAATATTAGTATTTTATTTTAATTGTAAGAGCCCGCGCATCGACCGCCAAATGCCGCACAGCACACTTGTCGAATAAGACCAATTCTTGTTAAAAATTCTAGTTCAGCAGAAAGGCTTGGTGCATATTATCAGATACTTAACCCGTTTACGCAAGAGATAAAAAAGATAAAGTCAAATATCATTTCTCGCAGCATTTTAGCTTATCGTTAATCTCTAACTTATCTTTTTCAAGAAAGCTTTAATTGTTCTCTTGATAATTGCACTGGCCTATAGCCAAAAGTTGTAAAGAACAGCATTAATATTGCTGGGTGCATATATGTCGCTGACTTCAAATATTCTAATCTTTTTTTTAATATTAGCCATAGTTTGCGGATTTTCGCAAATATAGGAATAATTTCGGTAGCTCTAATTTTTTGTAATTCTGTGTATGCAAATGAGTATGGAAACCCTGAACAGGCACAACTTCTAGAAAAACTAATTAGTTTACTTATGTTTACGCATACAATACGAAAATTGCAAATATAGGAAGTTGACAAAACCGGTTTCGGCGTTGTGCCATCTTCAGTGTAATTTTTCGTTCTGTCTAGTTCGAGTTTTTGTCCTTAATTTATGTTCATTTATCTTAGGTAATATGATTTTGGTCGATGATTAATTATAAGATATGCCATGGTGTATTTTTTTTAGAAGCAGGTCATAAGTTCTTCTTCGGTGTCTCAAAATTAACATCTTTCATCATAGTATTATCACAAATCAGTAACAGTAAGTCTTGCCTTCTATTTGGTAATTAGTACCGATCGGTTAATATTTACAAAAGTTATATCGAAAAACTTAAGTGGATCTCTAGTTTCAATTGTATTAATAACTTTTAAATAAAAAAAACGGATTTCAGAAAAGCATGCCAGGGAGTATCTTTTTACCTTCAAGCTGAGGCTTTCATATAACGAAACCGCGAAAAATGTGCTTCTTCGGCTTCTTCTAACGAAACCATTCCGCTGCAATAATACAATACCGTCAACTGCATTTTATTTTCCCCCATACAAAATCGACCCAGCCTAAAATACATACGCACAACCAAAAATTAGTTAAAGGTAACGCGTGCGTTTTATTTAGTTTTCAAAGAAGCAAAATTGTGATATAAAATAAATAAATTTTATTATGTTGCTATTTGTTTAGCGATAGATAACAGCAGGTGCTTGTAAAATACCAGCAATGAGCGGGCAATATACATATGTAGATGGGCGAATAATGAATACAGAAGCAAAAAAATATTAAATGCATATGTATGTATGTAAGTACATACACAGCGCATATACAGCGATGTTCGGTGAAATAGAGCCACGACGCGACATGTTGACGACACATTTTTTTCTACTTAACACCTACGGTATAAACCATTTAAATAAAAGTTTCAAACTTTGTTTAAAATTTAGAAAAATTCCCCATATTTTCAGAACAATTACGAACTTTTTTGTCGGAGTCTTTAGAAAATATGTTCGATATGTTTTTTTAAATGGAAGAAAGCGCGCAAAAAATTATGAACAATCAGAATAGAATTTTTTGGTAACTGCACACTTGCACTTTAAAAATTGTAAAATTTCTTACAAAGAAGTTCGAAATTTTAGAGAAAATTTTGGGAATTTTTCTGAATTTAAGACAAAATTTTCAACTTATATTTACAAAATTAACTATATTTATATAAGCATTTAACTTAAGTTAAATAGACGTCAAAACGTCGAGGCTCTATTTCATCAAACCGCACTGTAGATATGTATACAGAGGGAATAACAGTGAGGAATGTCATCAAATGCTTATCACCGAGCTAAGCTTACATGTGTAAAGGAGCACACACATACATATGTACGTATTTATGTAGTAGGGTAGTGGTTATTTAGTATGCCAAGGGCAGATAAAACTAACGAAATTCCTAGTATATTAACATCAAAAGTTAACTGAAATTTAAACGCAAAAAATATCTATTTCCTTATTCTTACTCATACATATTTCTACTATATAAAACTATCTACTGACTTTACTAATTAAAAAAAGGTGATAAAAGTTACTAACTTTTTACTTTTTTTCTTCCCCCAGCCCATTTGACGACTTATCGAAGCCCATCAGGATTCCCCTGCAATCCAACAAAAAAAAAATGCCACATACTATAGCGCTGCGCGCTGGCGCATCGCTCCTACTACTCGGTGTTGTGTTCCTATGTTGCATCATAGGCCTCACGCAAGCACAAGAGAACATAATGCCACAGATTCCTCCATCGCTGCAGGAGTGCTATAATACAAGTTATTTCATGAATCGCCAAAATCGTCTGCCCCAAAACATCGAAACGCTCATCTCGCTGATTGAGAAAGTCGAGAATACACCCAACTACTCTTACGACATGCGTACGCTTGCGGTGTCGCTGCTGCAACGCTTTCGCCAAGATGGCATTCAGCGCGCTTATGGAGTGGCTGAATCACCTGGCGTCATACCCTACAGTCCAACCGGTTTCCAGTTTCCCAAATTCCGCATATTGTTATCGCGTCTTATACCCGGCAACGCTATGACTTTTCCCAATCAAACGCTGACACGCGAAGAGCGTTGTTCCTTGCACTTCATGCTCTCTAGCTCGATAGAGACACGCGTGCGCGGTGATGAATCACAAGTATGCAATCAAATTTCACTGTATCGCGCCCAACGCCTGCGTCGTTCACCATTTGGCGAGCGCAGCAGCAGCGACAACGGTATGATTGGCGATGTTGAAGTGTTGGAAAGTTTTAGAGCTAAAGCGCAGAAACGTGGCCTGAAGCAAAAGGGTGCCTTCCACTCCTACGACTACGATTTTGGTTGGATCAATTCGGGCACATCCACCAGTACATCAATAAGCCAGTGTCCCGTGGAGAATGGTGTTATCTGGACGCCTTGGGGTACGGTCGCCGCCGGCACACTTTTGGCGGGTATTGCTACAGGCTTGCAACAACAAACCGTACAGCTGCGTACGCTGCTGGCGCTAGCGACACGCCAAAATGGTTATCAGTCTCTGCCACAGGTAGCCACCGTCAGTGTGGATAATCGCTGGGCCGCCACTTTAGCTGGTGATCTGTCCGAGGTGGCGTTGGTACAGGTGCCTTTCACAACCACGGAAACGGCCTCGGTGGGTTCAAACGGCGCATGGAATAGTACAGTAATGCCCGAATGGTATTTCTTGTCGCAAAGTCAAAACATGGAAATGACTGACGCCGAGATACGTGGCGGATTGGATGGTCTAATCATTGCCAATAATATTGTCTCGTGGCGCAGCCAACAGAGTAATATGAAACTATCACAGTTGCTGCGTATGTACTACTCCACGAATGGTGTTTTAAATAGCGGCATTATGGCGTGTAATCGCAAAAACAACTTCGCCACATATGCGCCAGCCGGTGAGATGTTGAAGCAGACGAGCGCCTTTGCACAAGTCTTGGATCGTGAAATGCAATTGGGCGTCACATTGTCGGCGGCGAATATTGCAACATTCTCCGAATCGGCAGCCTCTGCGCTACAAACTTATGTTCGTGAGTATCCTTAGAGTAAATGCTTTATATTTTTGAAAAATACTGAATAATCGTAGAAGTTTTGGGGCTGCGATTTTATTCGTAAAATTCTTAATTAAAGAAGGCAACTATTTTCAATCATAGTTCGATGACAAGACCCATTTCCTAATTAATATTTATGTATTTTAGATAGCATTTTAGCATTATTGCTAGACCAACAAAACTGAAAACATACTAAATATTTAAGCCTGGAGATGTTACTCTTCAATACTTTGTCCGATTCCTTAAAATTTTTTTGGTTTTGATTGATTCTTCCGACAAAACGAGAAAATGATGTAGTTTGGAACAAATTTGCACCAATCAAATATGCCTTGCGGGTATTAATTTGTTTTATACTAGCATTCTCCTATCAGGGACAGGTTCGGTTCAAAGATAGTATGACCAGAAGGAAGAGAGGCAAAAGATGGAGTAGGGTTTTCAGTTTAAATCTATAATGCGCTTTGTTTGCTGATGCTGATGCACTATAATTATGCAACGCACATTATAAAGAAAGTCGCTTACTCCAAGACATACACCCGTTTATAACCGTATATACCAGCGAACATAACCGTACGTGCCAGCGAACATATGCTGCAGAATTCAGTAAACCCTTAGATCGATTACGTCTAAAACCTACAATCTCTCCAGTGGAGCTAGCAAACTGTTAGCGAACATTATGGTCTCTCTCCTATCCGGCGAACCATAAGGACAACGTTGCCCTCACATTCGGCAACACCACAACTTCGAATCCGAGGACGTGCATGCGCTTCTTCAACCGACAGTTTATTGCACACGTGGAATGAGACAAAGCCCGCCGCAGTGTGCTACGTAAAGCTCAAAAACTCCATCCCCGAGACACACCAACGTGCTTGACCAAAGAAGAGACGCAGGCAGCTGTCATAAACGCCAAAGCATACAATGCGTTAAGCTCTGACCTAATCTTCATGCAGATTCTGAAAAGGCTAAGACCTGCAAGATTCGATAACAGCAGCTTTCAACTTTTCACTGTCCACCATGATCATTCCCGAGATGTGGAAAATGGTTTGAATCATTCCCCTCATTAAGCCAGGGAAGAAGGCGGACGCAGGAGAGTCTTACCGGCCAATCTCTCTTCTATCTAAGGTGCCAAAGACAATGGTAGCACCACTCCTCCGCAGCCTGACGAAGCATCTCAAACTAGCCGAACACCAATATGGATTTCGCAAAATGCATAGAACAACCACAGCTTTAAACGGCATCACCCCACAGATAAGCGAGGGTCTGAGCGAATGTCAACCCTGTGATAGGACGGTCCTGGTCGCGGTTGACCTGGCGAAGGCATTTGACATGGTAAACCACGCGATCTTCTGCCAAGCCGTCCGGATCGGACGAAGCGGTGGATAACCAGCACTCTGTGCGGACGCTAGTCATCTGTCCAATTACAAAACGCCAGGTCCAAACCGCGTAGAATTAAACAGTAGATCCCCCAAGGTGGCGTACTATCCCCGACACTGTTTAGCCTCAACATCGCTCTCCGCCGTCAGCTGGAGTTTACTTGGTGAGCTACGCCGATGATTGCACGATTATGGTAACGGGCCCTAACATCGACAGCCTTTGCGGAAAAATCCGCGACTATTTCACAGATCTTCCAAATTTCTTCACTGCTAGGAGCCTCACCATCTCCGCCGCGAAATACAATGCCACACTGTTCACCACCTGCATTAAAAGGTCAGNTGGAATGAGACAAAGCCCGCCGCAGTGTGCTACGTAAAGCTCAAAAACTCTGTCCCCGAGACACACCAACGTGCTTGACCAAAGAAGAGACGCAGGCAGCTGTCATAAACGCCAAACCATACAAGGCGTTAAGCCCTGACCTAATCTTCATGCAGATTATGAAAAAGTTAAGACATGCAAGAGTCGATAACAGCAGCTTTCAACTTTTCGCTGTCCACCCTTATCATCCCCGAGATGTGGAATCATTCCCCTCATTAAGCCTGGGAAGAAGGCGGACGCAGGAGAGTCTTACCGGCCAATCTTTCTTCTATCTAAGGTGCCAAAGACAATGGTAGCACCACTCCTCCGCATCCTGACGAAGCATCTCAAAGTAGCCGAACACCAATATGGATTCAGCAAAATGCATAGCACAACCACAGCTTTAAACGGCATCACCCCACAGATAGGCGAGGGTCTGAACGAAAGTCAACCCTGTGATAGGACGGTCCTGGTCGCGGTTGACCTGGCTAAGGCATTTGACACGGTAAACCACGCGATCTTCTGCCAAGCCGTCCGGATCGGACGAAGCGGTGGATAACCAGCACTCTGTGCGGACGCTAGTCATCTGTCAAATTACAAAACGCCAGGTCCAAACCGCTAGAATTAAACAGTGGAACCTCCAAGGAGGCGTACTCTCCCCGACACTGTTTAGCTTCAACATCGCAAAACTCCCTCCGCCGCCAGGTGGAGTTAATTTGGTGAACTACGCCGATGATTGCGCGATTATGGCAACGGACCCTAACATCGAAAGCCTTTGAGGAAAAATCAGCGACTATTTCACAGATCTTCCAAATTTCTTCACAGCTAGGAGCCTCACCATCTCCGCCACGAAATGCAGTGCCACACTGTTCACCTGCGTTAGAAGGTCAAGCTGGAACTGGACGTCCACGACGATGGCTACATAATACCGACGGTCAACCATCCCAAAATCTTGGGAGGCACGTTTCACAGCCTTTTCTATTTTCTCAACGCACGCCTCAGCCGAGCGGGGAAAAATTCCAGCTAGGAACAAAGTTATCAAGTCAATAGCCTGAAGCACTTGGGGAGCCGACAAAGAAACCCTGCTCACCCCGTACAAAGCAATCGATCGGTCGGCGGAAAACTACGGAGCGCCAATGTGGTCGGCAAGCACCAGCGATATACAGTGGAGAAACTTACAAACCTGCCAGAATGCAGCTCTATGCACGGCTACAGGCCTACGCAGTCAGTCAGGACGAGTCTCAGCACTCGAAACGAGAACATCGTCCTAGGCGGTCGATCGCCGCCCATTAACATCGACGAAGCGGAACTGCCATGTGCACCATAACACAACTCCTTGCTGAACTCAGGAGTGGCAGCCACCTTCCCAGCATGCGGGCAAGGTTTATACAAACCCAACACCTCTTCGCATGCACCGCTAACACGACGACCCTGAAGCACTATGGCCTGTCGACGCTGCCCGCTTTCTTGGCCTCAGGCTTGTAGGGTGAAAACGACCTATGACAAACCCATAGGGTTTGACCACTGCTGCTATAACAGCAACAACCGACTACATCTGAGTAGATCCACCAAAGTTACCCGTGGTTTCACACGGCTTGATTTTTGCCCAAGTTACGCGAACGTAAAAGCAGGAGTAGGAATTAAGTTCAGTTGGCCAATTTTTACTGCATAAGCACAACCCAACTTTACCTCACAGTACTCCGTTGCGGGCGCTAACTTCCAAGTATTTTATCAAATTGCGATCCCGTCTTACCTATGCAGTTACTGTTTTCTATTTGAGTTAGTATTATCGTTATTATTACGTCGAAGCAGTTCCAGTCGTTCCCCGAGGTTAATTACTCTGCTATCGAGGATACGTAAGCTATCATTTTAGAATATGCTCTGGGGCTTCCTCCTCCAGCCCACAAAACCTGCAGTCCGTGTCTACGTAAGCCCCATTTTCACAGATCCTATGTAGCTCTGTACTGTATCCTTTAGATGTGCCGCAGAAAGGCTCAGAACCAAGCAAGCATATTTGGGCTCCAAGCTTTGCGAAACAGTCAGCCCTTTTTTGCCTTCAAACCCTTCATGTCCAGGAATCCCGCACAGCGTTACACTATTATGGGCTCCCAGCAGGTTCAAAAGAGATTTACCTAGAATATGGTTTCTCATTCCCAAACTTAGTCCAAGTAAGCCTGACCCAGTCCTCCCGTCATCCATCTGCATTGCAGGACTGGCATGATGATAAGTTTTAATCAACCAGCCGAATGATAATTCACGAATTACATATAAAGGCATGTATTGTTCTTGTACATCTTCTTCTAAGGCTGAAGAAGTTATAAAAAGGGTTCCTCATTTCCCCGTTCAAATGATGTCGCATTAGACATTACCATTGCAGCTTTGATTTGTATTCCTCCAACACACTCTACATACCTACATATGTTCTTTTGTTTCAGCGAATAATCTTAATGACGTAACCTGTACCGTTAGCAGCAGCGCCAGCGGCATTAACAGTGTGATAACGCCCATGACTAATATCTATGTTTTCTTGGATACCACATGGCAATACATTAATATCGTTGATTATGTCAAGTGAGTGTTTTATTTCATTATACGCAGTAATGCCTACAAACATACATACCTTAGTACTTATGTAACTATGTAATTACACTCACAATGTTTTCTTAACAATTTTGCAGTTACATATTACAACGTCTCAACGTGTATCCCTATGCCAGTTCGGTAACACTGTTAGCTGCTAATGATGGTTCAGTTATTGTCAATACCACCAATTCCCTGCCAGACCTATATCAGGGTTGGAATGTGACTACACAAGCACAATGTGAGTTTTCGCCTTGATCGCATTTATTTCAAGTACTAAGTATAAAACTGATTCCCATCTTTCCACTTCCTTTTCTCGTTTTCTCCAGATACCACTGGCTTCAATTTACCCACCGTTTTACAAAAAATAACCAATCTGACTCAGGCCTACATGAACGCTGAACAAACGAATTCTTCTGTTGGTGGCCGCTCTCTAGTCGCCCTACTGATCCCCTACAGTACTGTGCAAGTGAGCAGCAGCGACTCCACCTATGCCACCACACAGCTGCAATACATTTACGAACAAATACCCGATTTGAATTTCATTTACTATACAAGCGGCACGATCAATCGCTTTGCTACATTCGTACGCAATCCTAGCACAGATTTGTTTACACTGAATACGGCTAGCACTGCAGCCGCCTCATCGGGTCCAGTTGTGTCGCGTATTATTCAAAGTAAGTTGTTGTGTAGCACTCAAAATTTTTGCTGAAGCCCACTTACTCACTCTCCAATTCGCCGCCCTTTCTATAGTTCCGCGCCGCCTAATCAATCCACGCTGTGGCTCAACCTGGTACACGCCCTCTTGGGGCACCGATCAGCTGGCGCAGTATCTAAGTCCAAATGGCACTAATTTCTATCGTATGGCACCCAACTACTTTTATGGCGCTGGCAGCAACCGCAACGTGGCTATCCAATCCACCAGTGGCATACAATTCATAATTTGCACCTCGCGCACCGTTCCACTACCTACGCAAAGCAATGCCACCAACAATAGTGGCGGTTCATCGGACATAAATTGTGCCGCGATTGGCAACGGTTTCTCCTATGATCTGTCCAATGCATGCAACGGTTACAGTTATATTAGTCAATGCCCACCACTCTACATCTCAGTGCAGTCGCCAACAACCATTTCATCGACGGTTTCGTGCACTGATAATGCCTGCCAAACACCGGATCAGGCACGCTACGTAGTCTCGGTGACGAATTTGGGCTGTTACAGTGGCGTCGCTGGGCTCTTTGCCAGTTGCGCCACCATTTTGCTGGCGTACTTCCTGCGCGAGGCATTACAGTAGAGACTTAGAGAAGTTGAAGATTTGATGTAGAAAGCGTTCGGCTTTTCTTTAGTTTTTTCTATTTTGGCTTGTCAGTGTTGCCAATGTACCTAGTACAGAAATAATTACCAGTGTTAAGTTTATCAACATACAACATGATCCTCCATAGTACACAAATTCATACGCATACATATTTAAATAATGTATTTTTTATAAACTCCTAAGTTCATCAATTTGATTTTCTATCATTTAGACATACATACATACATAAGTGTATTAAATAACATTGTTGGGCTGCATTTTATCACATGAGATTTATGTGCTTACATACAAACATAATACGAATAAAATATTTGTGAACCAACAAAAAAAAGTATTTGGCTAAAACTTTAAATTTTAATGAGATGTTTATGTCTTCAAACTCCACTGAATCCTTAAAACTTCGAATGCCGAATTTTCACTAATGGCTTGCGAAGTTATAAAAAAATTTGCGCATTCAAGGAACATTCTTATCAAGTTTCTGCTGTGTTTCTTGACTCTTGCAACCTGTCTGGCCATTTCTGGGCTATTATTGCGAAACTTCCTGTTGTTAGGTTGTAAGACAACTTAGATTTGTTAAAGATAAATCGATAGAGTCTAAAATACTTATGAGTATGAGTTGTTGGATATTTTCTTTTTCATTTTGAAACGAAGATAGTAGTGTAATTTGGATTTAGTGAATCTCTAAGATACTTTTATTAGGCAACCCGCCTAAATATTTATATAATTTTTTAATTGGGAGGAGTCGATATTAGCAGCCATCTGTCTAACTTTTTGTTCATCATTCGATGATAATGCCACATCGCCTTGACACAGTAGCGACATATCCAAATAATAAAAGTTTATTATCCAAATGAATGTTGTTTAGAGGAAATGTGGGGAAAGCTGTATACATTTTACGGAGGTGGCCTGTTACAGTCAAGACGGATTCCTCGCTCTAGTGCAGAACCTTTTTCTTATTTATTCATCGTTAATTCAATACTTCTGAACCTTTCGTACTATCAAAATGATAACTTATAGTATATAATCAAATAAAAGAAAAAAATCTTTAGAATTCAAAATTATTTATTTTTTTTCTGGTTCATAAGGATGAATTGGCATTGAAAATGTCCTTTTAATAATTTTTATTATTTTAAGCTTTTAATGTAGAAGGATGAAATTCGGAGATATAGTCGTATATACATACTATATTAATCCTTCAACCAAAATTTTTTTTCAAAAATTTAATACTGCAAGATTGTAAGGATACTCAACGTTAAAATCTAAAGAGAGCAAAATTTTATATTTTTCAATTCCACATTGCACTAAATTTTTTAAATAATTTTTTGAATCAATCATACATTTGAAAATTTAAAGTCCTTTTAAAAAAATGCTGATGTCAGAGCGAAAAACTAAAAACGCGGTTTTACTATATTCGGCTCCTAGTTTTGTGAATATATTTTATGTGTAAAATTCTCGGTGTAATGAATGTTATGATTAACTAGATTTTTTTGAGTGACTTATTCCACTTTCAGAACAAAAATCTTCGTTCTAACGCTGATTAGTAAAAGTTCCCTCTAGCATAACCACAAAATTGCAATGCTTTTTTTTTTAATGAATAGATACCGTTGAATTGTAGAAGAGCAGCAATTGGCGGAGTTTGTTAAAAGCAAAACGTATCTATTGCTTTTCATTACAATTTTTTTAACGTGGCAAGTCCCGACCCAATGGCACAACTAGATTCTGGGTTAATTTTTAAAGAGTACGCTTTATTAGGCAGTCGGTCATGGTCCTTAAACTGATTAAGTCGGAATTCCCAAACCAAAGCTCCCTTTTTTTCTGCTGTGGCTTAATGCTACTCACGAGTTGGTTACTGCATATGGAAAATGAGTCAGTAACGTTCCCAATCGTGCGTGAACGAGTACGCAAAAGCAATTATTGGGTATACATATTTAGGTTACGTAATTAAACTCTCCGCTTTGTGTGCCAACATCAAGGCACGCGCCACAAATTGGAGGAGAAGCTCGGCCACACACTTACTTATGTGTAAGCGCCAATCTATTATATTATTTTTAATTAAACTCTTTTCTCAGTGTATGCACATATATGCCGTCCCATGGATTGTGACCCAGACCTATCAGGGATCGAATCTCAGTCCTCCTTGATTTTAGGAGACATTTGACTTCCACCCTGTCAGGCCTGTCATGAAACACTTGGTTGCTTTGCGGGTGTAAGTACTGCACCAACGGTTCCGATGAGCTGTATTAATGAGATCATTTATATATCTGACTGTTCACGCTATATTTGGTCCTAAAATTAGCTTCCGTCGACATTGGATCTTCCAAATAACCGCAGTTTGCGCCAATTTATCTATCATTGCGTTGCCTTGAACAGCACAGTCTACCGGCACCACTTTGAAACGGCTTCCAAAGCTTTTACAGCGGCTTTCCTGCCACTGCAGACTGTGATAGTATACCGAAAACAGTAAGGCATATGAAGTTACTCATTTTCGTTGTTGGTGTTTCCGACCGGGTAGGAGTGTGATGTTTCGTTCTCCGACGAAAAATGGCACTGAAGATGGCACAACGCCGAAAGCGGTTTGTCTCCAAACCAAATTTGACAAGGGATGACGGAAAATTCGTCCACATTACATTACATCATATGAAGTTACCTTTCAGAGGACATCCAGCTACAGTTCCAGTTTTTGTCTTGGAGTCATCGGTACTGAACATTTTTACCGAGCCCCGCAGTATTCACTTGTAGGAAAGCTAGCGACGTACTTTCGCCCAAAAAGGAATCCAGGTGTCAGTTTTTTATTGGGTGCCAAAAAGAAAGGGTTCTGCTGAGACTACCGTCTAAACAACTCGCTGTATCCGTAACTCTGATAGTCATGCCACAATGCAAAAGAATGCAGTCGTCGCTAAATCCAGAGATAACAAATCCAACAAAACAACAAGATCCGATGCTCACGTTGTACTTATGGCGCCCATAATGCCTCTACAGTGTACAGTATACAACCACTCCGTTTAACATACAAACCGTTATTTTGACCATGGTTCGACGTCACAGCTATTCTGCGTAACGATCGGTTTGGCCAAAGCTATGTATCTATATTCAGAATATCATAGCTGGCCTCAGACTTCAGGTCTTACTTAAGGTTCTCCGAAACGGTCCAAAAGCTTTCAGCGCTCGATTTCACTGATACATACTTTCTAGGGATGGGTAAATTCGAGATTCGAATTCTAATCGAATTTTATCTTCAAAATGGCGAATTTTTGAAATCTAACTTGGTATGCTGAAATTCGGATAAAATCGAATTTTTATAGAAAAAATGGAATTTCGTCTTTATTTGCAAGAAAGCAATTCTTCTTTCTGACTAAATTTGGCACCCATGAACTAAAAATACAAGAAAAAAATCGAATTTCGTCTTTATTTGCAAGAAAGCAATTCTTCTTTCTGACTAAATTTGGCACGCATGAACCAAAAATACAAGGCACGCAAGAACGCGACGTTGTATTTGTAATTAGTTTTGAGAAAAAAGTTTGCGAAAGCGGGCTCGTCAGCTGTGCGTTTGTTTACATACACTTTTATTTAACTAAAGAAGAGTTACTTCAACATAACATTCTAAAGCGTTTTAATGAATAATTTTACTTAAATTGTGCGTTTACAGTGGCTGACAATAATTTTGTTTTTCGTTGTTTTCTTTGATTTGTTTACTTTTTGTCCGTTTTCCAGCGAAACAAAATGGCTATAACCCGCTCAAAAATCGACTCTTTTCACTCTCTTGTTGTGTCGTGCCTTAGAGATGCAAGTAAAAAAAAAAAATTGTCGATGTTTGTTCGATCTGATTCATCGATATTTTCGATGTATCGAATAAATTAAAAATATACAAGAAAATGGAACAATCGTAACTTCGATAAATGTCTAACTGACGGTTTCACGAAAGTCATTTAAGTGAAAAACTATTTTGTGGGGCAGTTTCCATATTAAATTTAAGTAAAAAAAAGAAACTGGCTATAAGTATTAACTCACAGTGAGCTGTATTTATTGACTCAAATAAATAGTTGCACATCCCAGTTATAATACAAATAAGGTCATAAAAAATAAATAAGATTTCAGATGCTTTATAATCTTAAAAATGCGTCTAATGTTTGGTTTTCATTATGTCAAAATTTTTGACATCATCACGTAAGTGCAGTTGAACTTCTTTTTCGATTCGAGTTGTCCTTCTCCCAAGCAAACTTTCAAATTTTCAGTAAAAAAAAAAATTTTTAATGTTGAAAATTCGAGAATCGGAAAAAATCGAATTTCAACCCCCACTACCCATCCCTAATACTTTCCAAATTAACAATGGGACCATGAGATACACCTACGATCAAAATTTCCACTCCATCAACATTTGCCTAAAATCCTTAAAGAACTGCTTTACGCTGCAACGATAGCAACAAACTACTTACCGTCATAAAATTAAGTTCTTCAACCTATTAAGGGCAGTTTTTTTTTCAATGTCCGGTTAACACAAATCTGAGCTAGAAACTCCGGCTACATAGAACGGCTGATGATGTTAAACTCGGACGTAGTGAAAACCAGACATTGAACAACCGATCCTAGCAACTAATGAGTTGTGAAATGAAGTCCATAATTTTGTAAGAGAATCTTTACATACATCCATGCTTTGGAATATTATTTTGTACTCTTTGAAAATCTATTTAAGGGTTTTTAATTTACAGCTTGGATGTACACTACGTGCAACGAAGATGACGAACCTCAGGGTATACACAATATGACTACAATTATGACAAACATATTTGTTTTTCTGGACACCACGTGGCCGTACTACTTTGTCATGGATTATATTAAGTATGAAATTTCTTTCGATAAAATATAAAACATATTCATTAGTACTATGATTATACATATCGTAACCTTAATATAGAAAGGCCCCATCTAACCGTTTTGTTTCTATACAAAGTGATAAAAAACTTAATCATGTTCGTTAACTCAAAATTTCTTTCAAATACTGTATTTTATTGTCGACTGTAACTAAGTAATTTTGTGTTTTTCCAGTAATTTTCAGGCTCTAATTTGATTATACTGACTAATCTACCGGCTTTCGTTCAAAACTGGATTTTGAAAGAAAATTAGTTAGGCCCTTTCTTTAATAAGATAGCGAAATGTGTATCTGCCAACTGTGCTTTTGCAAGAGCGGCTTTCTTCACGGTTCTGCCACTTCACTATTATAGGGATACATACATACGTATGTTATGTACATTAGGGTGGTCCAATAAAAGTAAAGACGGAATTTGATTGCTCTCACCCCATAGGATTGTTCTATACCGAAAAAATTATACCCGTTTTTTTATATACATATATTTGTATGAAAAACCCCATTTTTCGTAGGAATGGTATAGAATGGTTGAAAATCAATATTTTGTTAACGAGAAACTTTGTTTCTCTTCGGGAGACGTTCAGTTATAATACCCAATTGTTTTTTAACCGTTTTTAATAAAATGGTAAAATAAACAAGTGGGTATTATTATTAGAAGTCTCCTGAAGAGAAATAGAGTTTTCTGATCAAAAAATACAGACTTTCAAGAACTCTATACTATTTCCGTGAAAAATGGTTTTCTCCCCATATAAAATAATAATTTTTAATAAAATGGCAAAATAAACAATTGGGTATGGCTAAAAAACAATTGGGTATGGAAAACTTTGGGCGCTTTGAACGACCTCCAAATATATTTTGTTTTCAAAATAAAAAATAGATTTATATTTTTTTTTTTGTTATAGAGCAATTCTAGGTGGTGAGATCTCTCAAATTCCGACTTTATCTTTTCACATGCATTTTTGGACCACCCTAATGCATATACATTTAAACTAAGTGATAGATTTCAGAAATTGCCCTCGGCACCCAACGTACAACTATACGCTTATTTTTTTTTCTTCCCCTTCCCTATAGCTTCGTACTCCAACGACTCAATATAAATCCATATGCCAGCGCTGTAACCTTATTGTCCGCCGCGGATGGCACCATAATGGTCAACACCACACACTATTTGATGGAAGTTTTTGAGAAATGGAATATCACAACACACTCGTGGTGTAAGTACATTTTCCAAGACATAATAAAAATAATAGATTAGTACTACACAATATAATAGTGTTTGACGGAGTTTCTCCTCCAAAATACGCCAATAGTTTTAAGTGGCAAACACTAAAGGCCAATTTCACAGTGCGTAGTTAACTCAGAATCGACAGTTAACTAGAGATTTTCAGTACAAAAATCTGTAGTTAACTCCCGATTCTGAGTTAACTACGCATTGTGAAATTGGCCCTAACTCTAATCCCATTCGCAGACAAGCCCGGCTTCAGTCTACCACAAATCCTCAACTCTGCCGTAGATATGACGCAAAATATTATGAATGCTGATCGCAACGCCTCCTCATTGGGTGGCCGATCGCTGATCGCTTTACTTGTACCCAGCCCCGTAGCCTTTGTACCCGATTGGGATATGCGATATGCTCTTCATTTTCTTGAGCGGCTCAACTACACAGTGCCGGACTTACATTTTCTCTACTACGGCGGTGGTGGGCTCATACGCTTCAAGGATCTTGTACGCAATCCACACCAAGATCTTTTTCCACTCGGAGAGGAATACGATGTGTGGGCGGCTGGAAAGCCCGTAATAAGGCGCATACGTGAAAGTAAGTGGATTGCCAAATGTTTGTTCTACCAACTAATATAGTCTTTTTGAAGTTCCACGTCGCCTCGTGAATCCGCGTTGTGGCGCCGATATGTACGCCAGCTCCACAGGACCCAACGAAATGGTACAATATGTACGCACAGGCGACATCAATTTCTATCGCATAATGCCAAACTACTTCTTCGGTTCGACCAGCATGCGTTACCTGCGGATACGGCCGTTAAGCCCAATATCTTTCATTGTCTGCAGCTCCCGCACAAATGCCTTGCCGTACCGCCAAGACGGCGGGGATCAGCCGGAACAGGGATGTGGTCAAACTGCTGCCACTAATGGCTATGCTTTGGACTTAAGTGAACTCTGCATTGGCTACACATACATCACCGATTGCCCACCACTGTATGTGTCCGTACAAGCTCAGCAATTCGTCGGTAGCAATGAATTGTCCTGCACCGATCCTGCCTGTCAGTGGCCCGATGAAGCGCAATTTCTCATTTACGTAAATTATTTAGTTTGTAATAAGGCAAGGAAGGTAATGGCGACACCAAAAGCAGCGACATTCGTTTTTGTCATTATGATAGCCCTAAATTTTCGTATGTACAAATAAACGTAGATCTGATCTCGAATTAGTTTTTAGTCATAATAAGATTTCAAACCACTAGAATAAGAATAAATAAAACAAGTAAGGACAGTATTGCAGAGCGGTGTAAGTGTGAAATAATTTTCAATTTTAAGTCAACAATTTTTTTCTATCCAGTTTTCATTAATTATTCTTCGCTTAAGATTGAGGTTTATAATTTTTTTAATTTTCCATTCACTCACAGCAGTTATGAATTCACACATCAACATATTCATAGCAAGATTGAGAAAACCAATGCCCAATCAAAAAAAGGTTTAACACTGAATGAGTATTGAAAACGCCAAGTACCAATCATTAGTTCAAAGACACCCTGGTAAACAACTTTTTGATAAAAAAGGCAGATTTTTGACAATTGCTCTATTGTAAAAATTCGAAGCGGTATTACCCAATTTAAGTTTTTTGGTAGAGGGGATTTTATATCATAAATTTGGGATTATATATAAAACAGTTGTATTACATTTACCTTTTAAAAATAATTCAACAACGATGTGCAAAGTCAGAAGCACTAATCACTGAGCTATACACACATATGTATGTTCATATCGTCGATTAAAGTACAAAACCGCGTATCAAGATAATGCAAAACTGCGTCTGTGAGGTATTTTGTAAAGAATAAAAACACTCATATTTCAAAATGGTTTTCTCTTTTGTAATGGAATCGCATTTCAGAAGGACCGCGGCGGAAATCGACAGTAACACCGCCTTGTATAGATTCGCCTTGCTATGCAGAATAAAGCTGTTGAAGTGACCTAGTACTTAAATGGTTTTTTGTATAAATTTACATAAAAATTTTACATAAATACATACAAACATACATACATCATATAAAATCAAAAAATTTAATACTGACATTTTTCTTACATCTGTCACAAAAAATAAAAGTTAACACTCAAATTTTGCGTCTCATACTACGTTTATACGCATGCATAAGTCGCTTTAATTCATTTCGCCGCGATTCAAAACATATGTATAAACTGAATTTCAATTCGCTTTGAAAGAGCGAAGTGTTTTGGCTCACACTCCATTTCAAATCGGTAGTTTATTTCTCCAGACAGTTAGAAAGAGTGTATAAACACCGCTCTCACTCAAAGCGAATTGGAGATCAGCTGTTCCGCTCAAATTCCAAATAATCGCATCAGTATTTAAAAGCTGATTAATAATAATCGTTCTTTTTCTTTGCCACGATTTTATAATGCCGAATAAAACTAGATTTTTATCACTTTCCATTATGTTAACTTATAAAATGTCAAATGAAAACAGCTAATTTTGTTTGCTTTTGAAGACGGTTACTTTGATGCCGATATAAAGCCGTAAGTATAAACACTAGAGCGAAATGTGTACGGTGTCAATGCGCTTTCAATTAAGTCGATTATTCTGTGCGTATAAACGTAGTCTCAGAAGAAAAATGCCTTTAAGCGATGAAATAAACGAGCCGGAAAATACTACGTACCAATGTTTTGAGGTGGGAATGAATTACATTTTTTGAAGAGGAACTATCAGCTTGCCAAACCACAACTTGGGAGGAAGTAATTGTGGAGGAATCAGTGCAGGATAACTCCGAGGCGTCCACTCAAGAGCTTGCACAAACTACCTCTTCCAATAACGGTAGTACGACAAAAGAAGTATATGCACAGGAAGAGTTGTTTGGACAATATTTTGAAATTATACAGAAGGTATGAATATAATGGCAAATTACTTCATCAATATTCAAATTGTTTATAATAGTTTCTAAAATTAGTGGTAGACCAAACGTCGGCGGTAGTACAAAAATACGATTGATTTTTCAGCTCACTTTTAATTTTTACTATCATTGATTTATAACAATCATCAATTCGTTTTGTAGCCGTTGTCCTAGTCATTAATTTTGCTCAAAAATGTAACAAACTGTCTAAAGGTGTTATCTTTCACAATAGATATTGGAAGCATGTTATTCGCGATAACTTTTACTGTAAGGTTTTGAAATATGGTATCGCTATATTGTCTTTTTCTTGGACTGTAAGACTTAAATTGCTTATATTCTGCTAATTGTTGAGGCTGCTTTATCCGTAAATGGCGTACGAAATTCGAAGTCACTTGAAATGATCCTTGTAGTTTAGTCGTGCAAAAGCGACATTTTACAAGTACACCCCCACGTTGCTTGTGATAGTCAGTACTATCTAGCTGTATACAAAAAGGAAGGAAAATATTATATACTGTTTCTTGGTGTTTATTATTGTTATTAATATTATTATTACTATTATTATTGCTACAACTACTACTACACTTACTACTAATACATATTATTACTTTTATCTATATATATAATTCGCGAATGCATTTTTTGTTAATGCCATCAGATCAATCGAAATTGTTTTGAAAAGGTTTTATCTCTAAACTACATATACATATATAAGAGTGTTGCCCCATGTTCATTTAATTCATCAGGTGATTGAAATATGTAGAACAATGTCGGTCCAAAGAGATTTAAAAAGGGTTTAGTTTGAATATACTTTTGAAGAGGATTCCATATGTTTGAAAAGTCGAAATTAGTTAACTTATACACAAGATATAGGAAACATAGAGATATGAATGAAAACGTTTGAGAATATTTTGATTATGGCGGCCACTGAAACTGTATATATGTACATACATATATGGGTATTGTATGTACAACGGCGCACATGAAATTTCATTGACTAAGTGCGTACATATCATTAAATCGTTAATAGTACCCGTTAGATATGAGTCGGGGGCTAATAGATCTCCATTAGTACCCGTATGAGACTAGTTGCGACTAATTTGTACCCGATTGAGAGTAATCTCGGACTACTATCTTAAGAGATTAGTCGCACAATTTCTTGCAGGTGTGTACACACTATACACATACATGTTATGTTCAAAGTTAAAACTTTTTCTTATCGGTGATTAAAATTAGAGAAACCGAACCATGCGAGACCCCCTCTTTACTCAGAAAGGACTGGACGAATTTCCATGAAATTTAGCACACTTAAAATATTTTTTTGGATTTTGAATAGCGTTGACACTGGTCTAAACAGTTAAATTAAATTTTAACGTCATATGTGTTCACTAGTTACTAATTTTAGAAACTATTATAAACAATTTGAATATTGATGAAGTAATTTGCCATTATATTCATACCTTCTGTATAATTTCAAAATATTGTCCAAACAACTCTTCCTGTGCATATACTTCTTTTGTCGTACTACCGTTATTGGAAGAGGTAGTTTGTGCAAGCTCTTGAGTGGACGCCTCGGAGTTATCCTGCACTGATTCCTCCACAATTACTTCCTCCCNAAAAAAAAACATAAAAATACAATTTTTAAACTGTGAAAAACTCAGGAAAATTCAATAAATTTGCATAAAAAGCTGACACCATCTAATCAGATGTTTTAGAAAAATTGTGACAAAATTTTCTCAAATTAAAGCAATTTTTTAGCAACTTGAAACTTGCAATTTATTTTACTAAAATTGGATGGGCTAGAAAACTGCATTTTGAAAATTTTCCTAACTATCTGATTAGATAGTTACATATTTATTTAATTTTCCAGAGTTTTTCACAAAGTTTGGAAATTTTATTTTTACATTTTTTGTTGTAGTAAGTATAAACTATGTTTTTATAAAAAATAGCAGAAAATAATTAAAATTAAAACTTTTGCATATATCCTGAACAATTTTCGGTGCTCATAATATATACCTAATTAAAGTTCAATTGTAGTAAAACTGCATTTTCTGTTTTCCATGACTCCTTTAAGTATGTACATATGAAACCCCAACTGCCAAAGGGACATACGCGACAAAGAGTAAATTTTTTGTATGGACATATCGATGGTCCTGTGCAATAACGACACAATTCAAAATTCAAATAAAAACTGTTACTACTGTTAAGTGGCTCTTGTCTCTAATCCTTGTATAATCCATATCCATCCCTTACTAAAGGAAGCAGTAAGGATTGCTAAGGTAGTTACAAAAGATTAGACATTGATTCAACAAGGATTAGAGACATGAGCCGCTTAAGAGTAGTAACAGTTTTTATTTTTTGAATTTTGAATTGTGTCGTTATTGCACAGGTCCATCGATATGTTTTTAATGGGAGCGTTCCTTATCTCCCAGAAATAGTCAGAAAAAGTCCGAAGTAGTCAAATTTATTCCAAAAAGCGTTCCTTAACTCGGAAATGACGGCAAAAATGAGAGAGCAACACTCAGTGAGAGTGACTCTCATCAGTCCGAAGTAGTCAGATTTAGTCAGACGAATTTTTGTTGGCAAAATCTTGAATAATGTCAAACTCAACTGACAGCTGACTGGAAAAATAAATAAAAGAATTGTGGAAAAGTCAAAATTATCTAAAAACTAAAACAGGTGAATTAAAAATGGAAGGAGGCAAAAGAATAATTGATATGGTAAGTGCTTATTGTGCTTGTGTGAATGTGTTTTGTACATACGATTTTGTTTATTTGCAGATTAGTGATGAAAGAATTTGTGGTGCTTCTGGTGGAGCTACAACCCATCCCTTGGGTGCAATTTCGGCTGGATCTGGAGATCGGTAAATCACTGGATCTGGAGAAGTAAGTATGATAGCTTACATTTTGTGGAAAAAAGGTTATAACAAAATTGTTCATAGGTTAATTTTGCGAATGCTTGTTATTCCGATGGTGCAGCGGCAAATTCNAAGTGCTTATTGTGCTTGTGTGAATGTGTTTTGTACATACGATTTTGTTTATTTGCAGATTAGTGATGAAAGAATTTGTGGTGCTTCTGGTGGAGCTACAACCCATCCCTTGGGTGCAATTTCGGCTGGATCTGGAGATCGGTAAATCACTGGATCTGGAGAAGTAAGTATGATAGCTTACATTTTGTGGAAAAAAGGTTATAACAAAATTGTTCATAGGTTAATTTTGCGAATGCTTGTTATTCCGATGGTGCAGCGGCAAATTCGGCAGGAGATGCAGCTAACATGGCTGGACACACGAACGTGGTAAGCATAGTTTCTCTTATATATATAATAAATTGAGTTGTGTTCACGCTTGNTAGTTTCTCCAAGGGCTTATATATATAATAAATTGAGTTGTGTTCACGCTAGTAAACGAGTATATAGTTCAATATAAAGCGAAAATGAGTTGTTCTTGCAACCGAATGCATAGTTCAACTAAAATTTAACTTTGGTGCGGTGGTACGGTGTAGATTGTAAAAATGCGTGACCCGATTAAAAAAAATTCAACATACCTATACGGGTATTGAAGTTTAATTTAAAACTAAACTACAGAATTACCGAGCACTAATTTTATTGATAAGTTCGGTTTGAATTATTTACGGGTACGCTTTAGTTATTTTTGGGTTGCTGAGCCTAAACGCGTGACCCGAATCAAAAAACTTTTACTGATACTTGTAGACAAGAGTCTACGCTTCATTAAACAAAAAAAGTTACTATATCTGTGCGCTAATTTATTAATAATTTCGGTTTGAAATATGGTATTTGCAAATTTCTGAGCTTTGGGTGCAAAGGTGCTAGGCATTTCCCTCCATATGAAAGTAATTATGGAGCGTACTTTATATGGGAGAAAATGCTCAACACCGTGGCTGTANTTTTGGGTTGCTGAGCCTAAACGCGTGACCCGAATCAAAAAACTTTTACTGACACTTGTAGACAAGAGTCTACGCTTCATTAAACAAAAAAAGTTACTATATCTGTGCGCTAATTTATTAATAATTTCGGTTTGAAATATGGTATTTGCAAATTTCTGAGCTTTGGGTGCAAAGGTGCTAGGCATTTCCCTCCATATGAAAGTAATTATGGAGCGTACTTTATATGGGAGAAAATGCTCAACACCGTGGCTGTAATTGTTAAAGTTTGTTGAATTTTTATAAATTTTTGGACGAAATTTGAAATGTGTATACTTTTTTAATAAAAAATAATAATCATATCTTTTAATATAGTTAAATACGTATTTTTTTTTTAGAAAACAATGGCCATAACTTTGGTTTTTTAGTTTTATTAGTAATATATGTATATATATTATGTATATATATACATATCATAAGAAAGGTTGTTGAATTACCTCTACGAGCTCTATTATTTACTTATGCATANTAAAGCGAAAATGAGTTGTTCTTGCAACCGAATGCATAGTTCAACTAAAATTTAACTTTGGTGCGGTGGTACGGTGTAGATTGTAAAAATGCGTGACCCGATTAAAAAAAATTCAACATACCTATACGGGTATTGAAGTTTAATTTAAAACTAAACTACAGAATTACCGAGCACTAATTTTATTGATAAGTTCGGTTTGAATTATTTACGGGTACGCTTTAGTTATTTTTGGGTTGCTGAGCCTAAACGCGTGACCCGAATCAAAAAACTTTTACTGACACTTGTAGACAAGAGTCTACGCTTCATTAAACAAAAAAAGTTACTATATCTGTGCGCTAATTTATTAATAATTTCGGTTTGAAATATGGTATTTGCAAATTTCTGAGCTTTGGGTGCAAAGGTGCTAGGCATTTTCCTCCATATAAAAGTAATTGTGGAGCGTACTTTATATGGGAGAAAATGCTCAAAACCGTGGCTGTAATTGTTAAAGTTTGTTGAATTTTTATAAATTTTGGACGAAATTTGAAATGTGTATACTTTTATAATAAAAAATAATTATCATATCTTTTGATATAGTTAATTACGTATTTTTTTTTAGAAAACCATACCCTTTTATTAAAACAATGGCCATAACTTTGATTTTTTAGTTTTATTAGTAATATATGTATATATATACATATCATAAGAAAGGTT